CACCCGGGCAGGCCCCTGGCTCTCCCGTTCCTGGGGAGTCCTGCCGGGGGCTGGGGGTCGGGGACCACTGGCGGGGGCCCCATTTCTCAGGTGTAGAAACTGAGGCTTAGGGAGGTTTAGCGGCGCGCCCAAGGCCACACAGCCGGGAAGCAGCGAAGCTGTGGCTTCTCCAGCAAGGATGATCCGGGGTGGGAAGAAGGAGCCCTGTTCACAGGGCCAGTGGGAGGTGGGAGGGGACGCGTGTGCGCTGGGACAGCCCCTGTGTCTCCTTGAGCCCGGGGATAACAGGCCCAGCCCTGCTCCCCTCGTCCCCTCGGCGGGCGCAGAGGCTGAGCCGCAGTGTGTCATCCCCGCAGGGTGACTCAGGTGGGCCCATCGTGTGTGGCAAAGACCAGGTGTTGGCCGGAGTCCTGTCCTTCAGCTCCAGGGTCTGCACCGACGTCTTCAGGCCCCCCGTGGCCACCGCCGTGGCGCCTTACGTGTCCTGGATCAGGAAGGTCACCGGCTGATCCGGCCTGATGTCCTGGGGTGACCGGGACTGCCTCACTCTCTCCACAGGACCCCCCGCCTCCAGGGCTGCAGCAGGGTGGGTGAGGACAGGTGGGAGGGACAGGGAGGGACCAATAAATCATGATGAAGGAATGCTCAGAGCCTGAGTCCCAGCCGCGTCTGTCCATGCTGGCTGTGCGGCCTCCGACAAACCTATTTCCCTGGGAATTTTATTATTATTATCATATTGAGACGGAGTCTCGCTCTGTCGCCCAGGCTGGAGTGCAGTGGCGCAATCTCAGCTCCCTGCAATCTCCACCTTCCGAGTTCACGCCATTCTCCTGCCTCAGCCTCCCGAGTAGCTGGGACTACAGGCGCCACCACCACACCCGGCTGATTTTTGGTATTTTTAGTAGAGACGGGGTTTCACCTTGTTGGTCGGGCTGGTCTCGAACTCCTGACCTCGTGATCCGCCCGCCTCGGCCACCCGAAGTGCTGGGATGACAGGCGTGAGCCACCGCGCCAGGCCCTTCCCTGCTTTAAAAAGGGAGGTTGTGACTCCCAAGGCTTCCTCCAGGAGGGGGCGGCGTTGGCCAGGCCGGGAGCGGCGTCCAGGTCTGCAGGCCAGCAGGGTCGCGCCCGTCCTCCCCGCTCCCCGCCGCTCTTGGGGCTGGGCCTTGAACAGCGTCTCGGGGGTCTTCTTTTTTAGTAACAGCTTCATCAAGCTACGACTCACATAGCAAAGGGGTCCCCCTGCACACTGCGGTTCAGGGGCCGTGAGCACCTTCACAGAACTGGGCAGCCACCACCGTGACGTGTCATCCCAGCACCCCAAAAACAGGCCCGTCTCTACTGTCACCCCAGCACCCCGAAAACAGGCCCGTCTCTACTGTCACCCCAGCACCCCAAAAACAAGCCCCATCCCCATTGTCATCCCACACCCCAAAAGGAGGCCCCGTCCCCACTGTCACCCCAGCACCCCGAAAACAGGTCTCTACTGTCACCCCAGCACCCCGAAAACAGGCCCATCTCTACTGTCACCCAAGCACCCCAAAAACAAGCCCCATCCCCATTGTCATCCCACACCCCAAAAGGAGGCCCCGTCCCCACTGTCACCCCAGCACCCTGAAAACAGGCCCGTCTCTACTGTCACCCCAGCACCCCGAAAACAGGCCCATCTCTACTGTCACCCCAGCACCGCAAAAACAGGCCTGTCTCTACTGTCACCCCAGCACCCCGAAAAGAAACCCCGTCCCCACTGTCACCCCAGCACCCCGAAAACAGGCCCGTCTCTACTGTCATCCCAGCACCCCGAAAACAGGCCCATCCCCACTGTCACCCCAGCACCCCGAAAACCAGCCTGTCTCTACTGTCATCCCAGCACCCCAAAAGGAAGCCCCCACCCCCATTGTCATTCCAGCACCCCAAAAAGAGGCTCTGTCCCCATTTTTATCTCAACACCCCAAAAGAAGGCCCCATCCTGTCATCCCAGCTCCCCAAAAGGAGGCTCGTCCCCATCAGCCGTCGCTCCCGTCCCCTCCCCAGCCCTGGTGCCCACACATCCCGGTCCTGTCTCTGGATGGGTCTGTGCTGACATTTCATGGAAACCGGAACACACCGCATGTCCTGTGGCATCTCCCTCAAGTGGCACCCGCGCCGCGGCCTGGGTCCGAGCCGGGTTCCTGCTCCGGGGTCACAAGCTCCAGCTCGTGGGGGGCCTCGCTGCGTTTGTGGGTGCACATCTGGGCAGGTTCGTCTGCGTCCGTCGGTGCGAAGCTTTGCTGAGAGCCGCCTGTGCGTTTTCGTGTGGACATACGGCTCCTTCCTCCTTCCTCCGGATTAGACCCGTGGGGTGGAATCTCGGGCTGTGCAGTGACTGTGTTTCAGCGCCGCACTGTTTTCCTGCAGAATCTTTTAATTTCACTACCAACACTTCCTTTCTTTCTTCCTTTCTTGGAGATGGCGTCTCGCTCTGTCACCCAGGCGGGAGTGCAGCAGCGTGATCTCGGCTCACTGCAGCCTCCGTCCCCGGGTTCACGCAATGCTCCTGCCTCAGCCTCCCGAGTAGCTGGGATTGCAGGCGCCCGCTACCACGCCAGGCTAATTTTTTGTATCTTTAGTAGAGACGGGGTTTCACCGTGTTGGCCAGGCTGGTCTCAAACCCCTGACCTCGTGATCCGCCCGCCTCGGCCTCCCAAAGTGCTGGGATGACAGGCGTGAGCCACCGCGCCCGGCCTCAAACACTTTCAAACATAGTGCAGTCGGACACACAGAACGATCGTGGAGTTCACTGTGTCCAGGGTCCCTCCCGTGTCACCCCAGCGCAGGTGGGCAAGGCGACTCCCCGAACACCTGCCCGTGCGCATGCCAGCTGGGGCAGGGCTCCCTC